GCCCAGAACAGTGTTCCAAAACTGGGAGCACGCAAGGCTAAATGAGTTGACATACAAAAACATTAAAACAAAATATACCAATATGAAAAAGTAAAAAAATAGAGAGAGGCCTATCATTCAAATTAAGGTAGACAGCACTCAATTAAATTGTCAATTCAAAAAGAGGCAGATTAACTCAAGAAGGTTGATCTTTGGGTAAATGAGGAAACAATTGCAATTTTGGAGATATTGTCTCGAAGTTGTTTAAATAAAATTGAATTATTGCAAAATTTGTGGATTTTCTTTAAACGTTTAATATTATCTGGGGAAATGTATCCTCTGGAGCCTACTACGAAACAGACGAGTTCAACCTTGAAACCTGCATCTATAATATCAGAAATTAGTGGTGCATATTTGTTACATTTTCTGGAGTGGGCGGCATCGATGCCAGTTTCGAAAGGGACGGTAAGTTAAAAAATGAGGAGCTTCTTTAGGTTTTTCCAATAAATCTGGTATTAATTTGGTTGGTAAGCATTCAGGAGGAATGGTAGTATAGTGAAAACGCTGGGTGCTGGCTCCGAGGTCGGATAGGACTTCAGGGATACAAGTAACGTTACAAAAACCTTTCTTAAGAGTCTTAACAATATGATTGAGGATGTTGTTGTGCCTCCATGTAAGGCGCCCCAGGTCCAGGGATCTTTGACAAAAATTATGAACGTGATTAAGAGTTTCCCGGTTACCACATGAACTGCATTTTACAGAGTTGGATTTTCCCCATCTATGTAGATTGACCCTGGTGTTGAGTGAGTCTCCAAGAGCATTGACCAAAAATTTAAGGACCTCCCCTTGGCAAATTAAAAATAATACTTTTCCAATGATAACATGTGTCTTGGAGGGAAAGCAGTTCAAAGAACCTTCCCTGGACCAGGAACCCCCCTCATATGGAGGTCCCAAAAATTTTGTATTTCCACACATGTCATTGACTGTAATATGATATTGACTGTAATATGATATTTTAAACTGGGAATAAAATATTGCGAGTAAACTCTGATCTTGAACTCAGATCTGATTAAAGAATTGATTAGTGTGATAATTTTGGAAATAAGTCTTTGATGTGTTCTTTTATTACCAGTAATAAGGCAGAAATCATCTGCAAATGGGGTGGATATAATCTTGGTCCCTTCCAAATTATAACCGTGGGAAAGCTCCTGTTCTAAGAATTGCAAGATTGGTTCAAAGCAAAGGATAAATATGATGGGAGATAATGGGTCTCCTTGAAAGATACCTTTCCTGAATCTAAATTCATTAGATGACCAATGCTTGGTAGTAAGTAACCTTACCACTTTAAGCAGGAGTAGAGGTCAGTAATATAGGTCTTAATACTTGGATCAATATTACACCTCTCTAGAGTGAATTCAATTAAAGAATGGGGAATAGAGCCGAAAGCGTCTTCAAGGTCGAAGAAGGTAATGCGAGCATGGTGAATTATTTCGTGCAAAACTTGATTATGTTTTACACATCCATTTATACCTTTCAGAAAAGCCTTCTGTATTTAGGTATTAACAAGAGAGTTCTTAGTTACAAATTCTTCGATGCGGTTGGTCAGTATGAGATGAAATATTTTACTTGTAGAGGAAGAAAGCGCGATCATTCTGAAATTAGAAGGCGTATCTGTGTTTCCTGACTTGTGAAGAAGAATAATGTTGCTGTCTGTCCATGACGATACTGGGACTCCAGAGGCCAAAGTCTTATTGTACAGTGTAGCTAAAAAAGAATGGGTACATGTGAGTTTCTTTAAAATTCCATAATGGATGCTATCAGGTCCAGGAGCACAATTTGCATTCTTACGCTTCAACACTTCCCTAATATTACGGGGAGGAATGTTGTCGATATTGAAAGGAGTCATCTCGGATGGCGGAATACGCAACTTCGGAATCCATTTTAACTCATTTATGTTGATGGTGCTAGGCGTTCCATACTTCTGATTAAAGAATAAATCTGCCGTTTCTTTTGTAAATGAAGGAAAGTTCTTTGTTGCATATAGTGAGTCGTTAAAGTAATTGTTTGCTATATCTCCAAAAATTTAAATGATAAAGTTTTTCTTCATGTTTTGTACTACGTTGTTTTTCAGTATTGGTGATCCGCTACACTAACGGATCACCTCTTGTTATTGTCAGGATCATCATCATCTTTTTTTTCTTATTCTTCTTTCTTTCTCCCCTTTTCTGTTCGCACGATATCTCAAAAAATGCCACGAGTTACGCACAATCGCTGTCAACGAACATTTGGCTTGGTTTGGAATAGTCATGGTAAGCTTTTCAACGCGCTCAGTCATGCGTGACGTCATCTACGCGCAATTTTGCGTTTTTACATTATCGATCATATCAGCCCAACCAATTGCCATTTCGAAATCGTATTAAGTGAGCATTAACTTTGGGTTAATGTTGAATGTACTGTACCCTAATTTTACGTGTACGCTTATTGAGGCGCGCGCACGCGTGCGTCAAAATTTCAAAATGCTCGAAATCACTTTTTGACTATATTAGAGCACGTTTCAGGCCATTCTGAGCATTTCAAAATTTTTCATAATTTTCCACTACGCGCGCGCACTTTTACATGCGCAGTACGTATGGAAGTTAGAAATTAGGTTTTTTTTACATATTTTGGGTTCCTGAAATTGTTTTCACAAATTTTCATTCTTTCCGGTCATCTTTTGGCCAACAGCAATACTGTACGTGCGCATCAAACATAGGTATCTTTACGCGTATTTGTGCCCCTATACAGTGAAATTATGCTAAAATCAGACATATTTTTAATCAGTTATAGCTCCTTAGGTTGAAAGGTGACCCCCAATTTTTATTACATATTCTGAAAGCACATAAGTTGTAAATATGATTTTATAGATCATAATGGCTGAACGCACACAGCACATACTAAAGCTTGACGCGTTGTTACATGTTTTGTGTTCCTGACAGAGTCAGGAGTCACTCTTTGTGACATTACCGTACTCACGGGCGTCAAGACGTGTTTGTACGCATGCGTAAGTCTTTTAAAATGCTCAAAATTATTCTTTTAAAAAAAAACTAATTACAGCATATTTTAGCATATTATGACACTTTTCAATCAGCACCGCGTGATCTTAATGAGGGTCAAAGTGCGGCGGATCACCTAACTCATCCTCAGTGATGAGTTCAAATCTAGTTCTTATTGATTTTATTTAGATAGTCATAGGCTCTAAGAGCTTCAAAAAACTCGGTTTTCTTTTCTTGTACTGCATCTTTGAATTTGAATAAATGAATGAATGAATGAAATACAGCAGGAACATTTGAGCACATTACTCTGATTTTTACAAGAACTTCATTGACTACCTGTTTTTTTAGAAGCATCTTCAAGATTTTGCTGATTACTAAGACCCTGAGAGATGAAGGTTCAGAGTATTTTCGTGAACTGCTGGTGAGGTATGTGGTACGCACAAACTCTCTGCTCTAGTACTCACAAACTTCTGCTTGTTGACCCTAGGTCTGCATGTTTATGGGATGATTGATCATTTGCTGTTGCAGCTTCGCATCTTTGGAATAAACTGCCAATAACTATTCGCTCGTGCAGTGTCTGCTTTGTTTCAAAGAGCTCTCAAGACATCTGTGGTCATCTGCTTTTTCTTCATTTTCTTCTTTGTCTTGATTGCAAGCTTAAGCAAATTGCATGTAAACAGTGCGGTGATGTAGCATTTTCTTTCTTAAAGGTTCAGGTAATTTGTGGTTCCTTCCCCCTATAGCGACTTCAGCACTACTGCAGTGCTTTATAATAATAATAATAATAATAATAATAATAATAATAATAATAACAAAAATAACAATATATTATTATTATTATTACTAAGTAATATTATTACCTTCTAGTATGTAAACGTCACGATTAATCTTGATAAAAAAAAAACAACCAGTAGATAGGTTGCAAGTTCCCTCGCTCAATTATTTTCTTTCGTAAATGTCAGAAATTCACTAGTAAGATCATTTTTTTTATGAATTACAAGGCATGCTTTATGGAAATAGAATACTAGAGCATTGAGTTCAGGTGCATGTAGTTTTGATAGCAGTTTTATAATTTTTAGAAACCAGTAAAATGAGTAAATGAAGTTGCCCTTTTAGCGTTCAATATAAAACCGGATGAGGAAATACGTACGTTTAATGTTGCTGTTTGGGCGTTCCATATACAAAACCACAAAATCAACTGACGAATACAGCCAGAAATGCAGAAGTAAACCTCTTTGTCTAAACAAACCCATGTGCTCGAAACAGAAGACCAAGTGAGATAATGACTTTAAATCTATGTTGTTACAGGCTTTTAGACAGGGAGGTTTAGAAACGTTTTCTTAATAGTAATAACAGAGTATTTACGAAAAAGGACGATAGAGGGACGACGACGGTTGGTACAACTAAGTTCCGCCCACTAGTGATAATGTGCACGCGCGAGCTTTTGGACCGTTGTCGTCAAGCCGAGAACGACTGGAAAATTGATGTTTTACAGTCCACAGTGAACGAAAAGTAAACAAAACAAGAATGACTTCTCAATTTCCTTTAAAAGGTATGTATATACTTATATTTATTGTTGAAATTGAGTGATTCTGTGGTTTAAAAATTAAAAACAATATTTTTCATAATTATGATTCAATAGATCTGGTAAAGGTTGCATGGCTTGATAGGCCTCTCCCTACTCTAATCTGGCTAGGCCCAGCAGCAGATGTGGCCTTCTAAACTGAACTGTGTGAGATGAATCCTTATATTAATAATAGGTTGTCTCAAAATTCCATGCTATGTTATATTTTCCAGAGGCAGAGCTGCAAAAAACTTACGAATATGGCAACTACATTCCTGGAAATGGCACTTTTTAACTTTGAAGAGATGGGTTATATGTTTCAATTTTTGGTTTTTTCTGTTGCTAAGTTTGTTTTTGTGGGTTTAAATGAAATAGTATTGCTGGCTACATGTACAGTACAATGGTAATAATAATAATAATAATAGTGCTGGCAATCCCTTTTATTATTCTTCCCCTAGTTATTAAACATCATCTGTGTATTTTTTGAATAGGAAGATTATTTTTTTGCAAATTAATTGAAGAAATAGTAAAAGGCGTACATTTTGCTACCACACACCAAATTAAGTATCGCCATTTTTATTATGCAATATTGATGTTAAAAGTTCATACATTTAATTTCGATCACATTTAATATATCATATTGCATGTATTATATACAAATTTATTGCACTGGTATTGCTGTCTCCACTTGTTTATAAAAATTAATTAAGTCATTAAAGTATACTATGTAAATTTTAATTTACAGTATTAACATTGTACAATATAGACTTAAAAAACAGATAACAATATTATTATACAGTAGTACATATAGTATTATATATTGCATAAAGTATTGCTATACCTTCATTTTATAAATGAATAGCTACAGCCTGGTATGTATATAATTATCATGTATTGTCATTTCCTCTTATGTGCAATATAAACTTTAAAGCAGAGCAAACATTTATTGATTACCAAATATTATACAGAAGTATAATTGTATATGCATACATGTTTTGGTTACTTAAAATAAATTACGTGTTCATCAACTTGATTTGAATACATTTGTTCCATTCAAACTTGTGTCTGAATTTTTTAATGAGAAATGTTATAGTAAACAATAGTTGTACTGTACAATATAATACATTAATTTTAAGGGGTGATTGCCATGTCTTCAGTAGAATTTTGTGCCTCCTCCCATTAGCAATTTGCTTAATCACCTGCTCTTCAAGAATCATTAGAAAACAAATTGCACTAGGAATGTAATGTTGCAGTGTTCTTTGCCCTTCATAAGTTTCCGTTGATATTATCATGTAACATAGCACATTTGCAACAAGTACAAATACAGTAAATGGCCGTCAAAATTTTTGCTTTGTACATCAGAGATTAAGGGTAACAAATAGGAGGGAAGTTGGCATGAAATCTATTATGACTCAAAATAAATGTTACTATTCAATAAAAAAATTGTTAGTTTCCAACTAAGATTTTGGGGAGTTTGAATGATTTCAAATTTGGAAGATGGTAGTAAAACGACGGGGCTTCATGTTTTCTGATACCTGTGTGAATTGATCATTTGCACAATTAATACACTATGAAAGTTACCACAATTACTAACATTTGGCAAAATGACAAAGTCCATTGCTTGTTACCAAATAGGGAGGGAAGCAGAGGGGGTGGAAGTCCATAGTAAATTCTCTGTTACACCAGGATAATTAACATTTGGTAGTCCAATACTACAGTATATGCATTCAATTACAGTCCACGTGTTGACTGAATTGAATCACAGAAAATATTCTTCAAGGGAAGGAGGATCTAAATTGAAAGATTTTGATGTGATATTGCCATACAGACAGGTGTGGGCATTTGTCAAAAGGACACACACTATATAAATTTTTCCGATGGCACTCATTCAAATTTTTTGAGTTTTCTTAAAGTCTAAATTTCCAATTCTCTACAATGTCATGGAATAACCATTCTACCGACACCCTAACCTGACTCATGGACTTATTATAGTCTTCTTGTTCCTGTGTTAAGTTCCATTTGAAGGGGCCTTGTAATTGAGGGCGTAGGGGATATGCGGGATCACCATAAATACAGAGTTGTTCGCCATTTTCCTTAATGGCATGGCGCTCTAACTTTTGTAGCAAACCTGATTCTCTAGCATAAATGAGTCATGCCGACTTTCCCCAATTGGACCAAATAGATTAGCTATTAGACCATTTAGTGTTACCACGGATTGGAATTTCAGGGAGTGGACACGCTTATGGCCATTGTAAACAATCTGCTGATGTTCTCCGGGCTTGCAAATTGGGCGTACAGTTTCATCTACGAAACCCTAGCAATTCTTAAGGGCAGCACCGGCGGCATGGATAACATTGGAAAAGTTTTCTAAATGTTCAGCCTGTAGCCAAGGTTGGTCCAAACTAGTTAAAAGGTGATGAAACCGATCGTACACTTGCCGCATAATCATATTGGTAATCATGCAAAATTGAGGAATCGGCCTTGCAAACATAGGCACTATATCAATCTACCTGCACGGATAGGCAAATCGCTTCAACAGTATACACAGCATTTCAATACCCTGGATCTTGAGGCCGTTTGCACATATGATCTCATCGTCAATCTTTAACGCTATCTTAAGAAGATATATGTCGTCCTTCATAAATCTATATTAGGAAAAAAAAAACATTATTATTAAACCTGAGCCAAAATATTCCTCCAACCTGGCCCTCCTCACACATGGTGATATTTAACTTGCCACACTCATGTATATGGTAATAATGATGATTTGTATCGTCTTCTATATAGCTGAGGGCCTAGGCATATATACATGTTTTTGTTTTTTTTTTCTACCCAACCTAGGCCCTAGACTAATTAATAATATGGAATGTTGTATTTAAAAAGTATTTTAAAAAAAAAAAAAACCAGCAATTTTTTTTTTTTTTTTTTTGGCAAGGCAAACTATCTAATTAAGAAGCTAGGTTGACTATATAGGCCCATACCAGGAGAGAAACGAAGAATATGTGAGACAACCCAACCTAGGCATAGTAGCCTGGTAGGCCTACTAATCCCTCTCCCCAGGCATCAGATAGGGCGCCTTAGCTAGAGAATAAGGGCTCGAACTAGGCCTATACTAATAAAAGATCGCCAAAACTCTAGCTAGGGACTAGGCCTAGCCAGGCCTAGGCCAAAATTAAATAAAGGACCACACCTGAAATAAGCATTGCATTCATCGTCCATGTATGATTCGAGGTAAAACTTGTTGTACTCCTTGTAGGGTACATCAATATGATTATTTGTGTTTAGGTCACTCAACAAAAGGTACTCCTCCTCCTCCGGCTCAAGCACGTCCTCTGCAAGCACAACAAACGTCACAGCAGGTCCATCACGTTGGAAGCATGACGTCGTCCCTAGATACGTAAACGAGAATAGAAAGAGCACAACAGGCTGGATTTCACGCATCAGTGCACATCGGTAGTCCGTCGTCCCTCTACCGTCCTGTTTCGTAAATACTCTATTAGCAATATTATAGCGCAAACATCTCCACCAAAATAGGTGCTCAAGGCGCAGTGTATTTTTTTTATCTTACATTTCCAGCTGGTGTTTCCGTGACATTTACTTACCAATTTCAATTTTATTACTAATTACCATCTAATGTCAGAAAGGCTTCTTTTTAGCAGATATGATTTTAGAGAGTCCAGAACCATCTGATTTTTAAATTTAAAAACTATCAATACAATTTTGTAAATAATCCGGTGTGTTAAAGAAAGCCAAGCTAAATATTTCAGTATTTTGGTTATATATAATATATAAACTAATCTCATTAGAGAGAGCGCACTGTACTTATTGCTCACAATCACAGCGGGTTAATGAAACAATTATCTGTATAGGTAAATTAAATATGGATATAAACCAATGATGAATACTATCCAATAGATGCCTCCCATTATGGTTCAGCCAGAAATTTGAGAAATATGGGTAATCGTGTTTGGTGGTAGAACCCAATATGGATTTTGCAATATCAACTTGAAAAATTAGCAGGATTAAGTTCAATAAATGTTAGAATATTAAAAATATTAAAAATATCATTTAATATTTACCATCTTCTTGACATATTTTACAGGTCAGAATTACACATAATCACACATTTTTGACTGTCAAATGTCTATTCTTAAAAATTAATATATATTATATTTTTATCATTATGCTGATACTACTAACAGTTTGTGCCATATTTTCATAAAAGTGATGCCAATATGTTTCTGTAATTATGTTTTATTACAATCTTAACCAGATTATCTTAATTTGCATTAATTAACATAATTTCCATTTTAATTATAAACCAGAACTCTGCGGGTGTGTACGTTCCTTTGTACGCAAAAACTAAACACAAATTTGGGAATTGCGATAATTAATAGTCACCAAATTCATTCACTGCATTTTGCCAAATTTGAAACTAATTGGATTTGCCAATTTTTAGTTATCGTGGTATGGTAAGAAGCAGCGTCCTTTTTCCTTTTTGAAATAAAGTAAACCAACACCTAATAAGCAAGATCTCGAAATGATACATTGCCTTAACATCTCAAAAAACAAAAAAAAATTGGGGGTGGGGAGGGGGGTTAATTTTACTTTTCCGCATATCAATATTCTTTCAGCACGCATCCTATAAAACTTGTTTTAAAAATATGTCTTTAAATGAATTACTTAATCACAAAATTAACATAGATAAAACATTTTATTAACAACAAAAAGCCAAGCAAAATACACTACAAAATAAACTTGGTTTAGGCCTAATATATAGGCTATTTGTCAATGATTGTAGATTGTGAAGTTAAGAGACCTGTTTCATAACGGCAAAACAATAGTGTAAGTAGGCCTAGGCTATGTACAGTCATGGTACAGTAGGCCTATTCACGAGAACACTTCCTTGAGGAATCCTAGGAGTGTAATCAAGGAAAACAAATTCTGGGAGGTTTGGGTTTGTCTGGAGTAGTATACTAAGTATGGGTTAAATTATTTAATTGAGTGACACAAGAACGAGAGGAAAAAAAACTATGTTGGACATCGGTAGTTGGGCAATTAAAACACAAATGATTAGAAACAACAGAATAAATAAATTTTCAAGCACCTTAATAGCATTTTGGGGTTAAAGCAATGGGCCTATAATTGGAGATAAGGGACCTATCTCCAGATTTAAAAATGGGGGTTACATGAAATATCTTCCAAGCAGAGGGGAATGTCCCTTTATTCAAGGACAGGGTAAATATGTTGTAGAGGACGGGGTAAATCTAAAATTTATGCCAATATTTATCGTTTGTAACAATTAGAGTAATGCATGGAAAAAATCATTTTAGTGAAATTTTGCCAGGAATGAGGCTGACATTTTTGATGAACATGATCTTACCAAAGGCAACAGTCCAACAATCCCTTCTATTTTCTGCATCAGCAGGCTCCATACATGCAACTGGCTTATCTTTCTGTCTTGGATCCCACACTTTCACAAGCCCTGAAGTAAACATTAAAAATATCAAACCAGTTTTTATGTGTTCATAACATTCATGACCCTGTGCAGTTTTAATTTTTTTTCTAACTTCTATAGTAGATTAAATGTTTAAAACAAATTTCACCATAGAAAAACTACTTTTCTATTATACGGTACATGTTGGCGTATTTATAATATTTCTCTTAGTAGCCATGGTAGATAACCCTTACCCTCTATTCCCTACATGGCTAAATCTTCACTCTTCCAAAAAGAAGAAAAATGAAAACTAAATACAATATACAAACTTTTCTTACCATCTCTACTTCCTGTGACAATTTCTGGTGCCCCTTCCCCAATTCCAAGTCCACCAACTCCATCAATACAGTTAATAATTTCTTCATGTGCATTTGTCGAAAAGACTGGATCCTTTGTGTTTTCTAAATTCCTATCACAGAGAAAAATATAAAAATAATTTTTTTTTATCATAATGATGACGATAGCAATGGTGATGACAAAAATGGCTATTTGTATATAACACTGGTATCTGTCAAACCTGATGCTCATTGCACTCAATGTATTGACTTGTAGCTTGTTCAATAAAATTTTCCTGTGCACCACAGGTGTTATTTTATTGACTGTACATTGCTGTGACTCGCAAAAATAGGCCGGGCAAAACACATTAGTTAAAAAAATTTGGCCTTATTGTGAAAAAAATTTTGCCCGGAAGTATCGATTAGACTTTTATTAACAAAATGGTTGAAGTTGTCGCATTTCTTGCTCATGGTTTTTGCTGCTTAATTTCTCGCTTTTGTGAATTTGAAACTGTCTTTGATGTGTAAATTTTGCAGTGGATGTGTTAATTTGTAGTCTTGATGGTTTGTTGGTGCTCTTTGTCAAATTGTGTGGTTTGTCATGCTTTTCTTGCTGGCACCAATCAACAAACACTGTGATCCATGCCCTATCGATACAAAGGTCAATGTATATACTGTACAGCCAAGAATTTCTTTTCAGCCGCAGTGAGTTTTGTACCTGTAGACCTTCCCAACCACAACATACCAATGAACTGTTTGCAAAATTGGATGTTGACGCAGATTTGTTAGCAAATATAAACGGATATACTCTTATCCGATCAGACAGAAATAATTCAAGAAAAAACAAAGGTGGTGGGGTTTGTAAAGGTACTGTAATCCATCACCATTATTGCTGCGAAGCAGCCAATTCATATTCTTGACAGCAATTTGACCTCTGAAAGGTCATTGTTTGTCAAAAAACAAGAGCCTAAGACGACTGAAAAGCGGAGTTTCCTTCCTTCTTTCGTTCTGCCGGGTAAAATCAATTACTTTAGGCGACGTTTGTAGACTAACCAACACGTACCAACATCCGCATGTCGCGCTAGCCTTATCCTATTCTATGCCTAGACTAGCTAGGATGGTATAGGCCTTGCCTTGAAGGGACGAAGGTCCCAGTGAAAAATAACGTCGCTCCTTGATAGCTAACGTTGTCTATTTAACATCACAATAATTCATTATTAGACCTATAGTTGTTTTTTGAATTGTACTCCACAAATCTCAGCCGATACCTTGCACAACTCGAGCAACGTCTCGTATCTATTGTCGTGACATCATGGCTCGCTGGCTCCCACTTGCGAATTCTCGCACTTGTGATCAAATCACACGCTGGCTCGCACTTTGGCAACACTCTTTGGCAATCAACTCGCCCCTAGAAAACCCACCCTTTGAAACTTGCCCCATAACAAAATGTACACTTCCTAGACCATGCAGTCTTCAAAATAAAAATTGTAACCTTTTGTAATCAACTACATTTTCCACATACATAGAAATTTTTGAAACTTTATTAAAAAAAACCTAAATCATAATTCACCACTATAAACACTTTTTGACAAAAATGAAAAATTAAGACGTTGTTACCCAATGAGAAGTGTTCTAATATAGACAATGGGTCGTGTCTCATATTATTTGTTATATTTTTATTATTCATTATTTTCACTTGACTCGCATAAATAATTTTGTTCGAAGAACATTTATATGCAGTTGTACTTCACAGCACTTCACTTGCAATTTGCAATTTCTAGTTAGTAGTTTATATACCACCTGATGTGGATAACAGTATGGCAGCAGAAACTGTGTATGATATGATTTCAGAATACGAGTCTCATTCACCCGATGCAGTATGCTAGTGAAGGGAGATTATAATACATGTAAGTTGTGCTTATCAAAATATAAAACAACATGTAACCTGTTGTACTCGAGAGGACGCATGTCTTGATTTATGTTATGATAATATACAGTGCCTATAAAGTAAAAGCTCTACCTAGATTGGGAAAATACGGTCACAACTTGATCCCAATTTACAAGACGAAGCTTCAACAAGGGGCCATTGACCCTTCCACTTTTTATGGGGAGTACTTAACCACATAAATACCTCTATTTTGAATTCCTGGATCCGCCGCTGGAAATTACAACAAATATGAAGTCATATTACAGTAGCTTGATGCCTATAAAATAACTAAAATATCCGCAACTTCCTTCGCCCCCGGACTCCAATGGGGGAAACTGGCGGCCCCTGGCCCCAAGCCTAGATGCTTGCTTTGCTCGCATACTGGACCTTATGAAATGGGCCCTCCACCCAACTTTTAACGGAAGGCTGTACAATGCAAAAAGAATGATTTGCCGGCCTATTGCCTTAACCCTCTGGATACCGGATTCTTTTGTAGTGCAAACCCTTGAATACCGGATTCTTCTGCAGTGTAACAAGGTTTTTTGCGTTTTTTGAGTATACGTCGTTCTGGTGGATTTTTGGGAAAAATGTTTCTAAAAACAAAGAAAGCTTATAGAATAAGCTTTTATTTGATGTATAATTTATATTTATTATATATTTAATATATATATATATATAATATATATATATATATATATATAATATAATAGAAATGACAGAAAAATGCTATATATAAATCGTCAGCAAAAACTGAAAAAAAAATAAATTATAGCCAAAAAAATAAAAACAACATTCCTATTCCACACAGTTATATAATTTATTTACCCAACCATCCATAACTATAAGCACGATCTTTCCATTAAAAAGCATCGACCACCGTCACATTTCTAGGCCTAGGCTCATCTTCATCAAGAACATCTCCGCCGTCAGACAGCTTGAAGCCCCACCGTCATCATCGCTATCAGGCACGTCTAAGTCTCGCACATCTAAAGACTCAAAAAATCAGGTCAATCGCTTCCTCAGCTGTGTACACATATTGTGCGGCCATTTCGAAAAATTTTTGAAATTAATAACGATTTCAAATTGATATTTCTAAACATTTTTATATAAGCGCATGTGAGTTCTTCACAGATTTCGAAAGAAAAAAGCTTCATGCACGAGTGGTCAAAATTTCTGACGTATTGGAGCTAAAATAAAAACAGAAGAGCGATTTGAAAACCACCTATTTTTTAGTCACTAAATTTTGACTGCAGTCGAAAATGGGAATTCTCGGTTTGAGGTCAATTTCGACTAGAGGGTTAACCAGTGTTCCTCGGGGACGTACAGTAGCCAGGATTTTGAAAGGGCAGAGCTGTTATGCAAGGTACGTAGGACCCCGGGGGAGGGGGTCTAGGGGCGAATCCCTCTGGAAAGTAGCACGCTCTGAAGGTTTTTAGGACTGTTTTGAGATGATAAAGTGAAAATTACAATAAACGCATCATAAACCAGACCTCAGTGAGGGCCAAGGTTCCTCTGCGGCGGTTAAGCTTCCACTGCGGGCGTTCGTGAAATATTGCACTACTGTATTTGCGGTGATGTAAACATAGCAACAAACGAAAACAGGGAGACCTCAACTGTCAATCCGGCAGTTTCATTTTTATTGATTAAGCTCATTAAGGCTTTAACATAATGCGCTAATTATTATTATCATTATTATTTTAATATTAATCCTAGCATCAGGTATTTTGTTCTGCTTGTTTAGTGCCAATGATAAAAAGGTGTAGTAGCTGTGGCGGCTGTAGGATATATTTTCTAGGGGCCGAGCTGTCCGACAGGGGGAGTAGAGCTCGTGGGCCAGAGCTTGTGGAAGATTTTGTGAAGGTGTTCCCCTTCCAAATGAGATTTTCTTATTAGAATAGAAACCTCTAAATGGCTAGAAATGACACTCAGACTGTGACAGACATGTGGTGGCTTGGCATTGGGGGGGGGCCTACATTAACTATGGGTCGGAGCCAACAATGGTTTCACTATACCGTACCGTACACCCATAGTCTAGCTTCCAATGGAAGCTGCAAATGGATTATCCTGTCAAGTATCAAGATTGTTTTTATCAAACCACAACACAATTCTATGCTGTGTCTGTATAACCTTATCCAAACCACAGTATCAGCTATAAAGAGCTTTGTCCATACTACCCAGGAAAATACAGTTTACTAGTCTTTTCAAAGGTAGGGGGTATTGTCTTTCATTAGTTATGGCTTTAATATTTGTCAAAATAGAAAATTATTAAATAGGGCATGAGGTCATATCCAGTTTTGCTTGGGTACGGACGTTCATAACGAACAGATATCTGGAAAGTTACTTTTGCATGTTTACAAAAAAACAGCGTAACATACATGTCCAGCCCACGAATTTCACGTCGGCCGACCATATTGCCGAGCCAGAATTGCTACAGGACGGCAATTTTTTGCCAACCTAGGCCTAGATTTCTTTGCTTCAAAAACTGATTGGAAAGTCAAAAACATTTACTGAAACAGGCTATAGCAGACACTAAATTTCATGTACGTCGTCAAACTAAGGAAATTGGTGGTTCATAAACAGATTTGTTTGTACAATGATTTCTAATAGGCATGCAATACATACGATTTGTGTACAATCGTCTTGTCTTTCAATCTCGCCTAGTTGTTTCGTAGGCTAGGCCTAGGAATGACGCTAGCCAGCCAAGGCCTACAACATCGCCCAAATGAAGCCAAGTGGGACGCGTAGATCGTAATGCTTATCTAAATCTAATTATTTGTCTTCATTTTACAATATTATTATCATATTTAAAATGTTGTTTATTATCTAAAAACAACAAAATTCAACATATTGCAGGCCTAATCCTACCGTCCGTTTAAACGCAATCACGATCGCATCATGACTTCACTACTGACAAGTACTGTAGTACATGTGTGGAAAATCTCTGATACATCAATATGGACATGCATGGGCAGTTTTAAAGCAGCCTGTGATGCTGTGACGATACGATCGTAGCTAAAACGAAATTTATTCGGCGATTTTCTTATGTAAAACATAATATTATACTACACTATTAAATTAATACAAGTATGACCATTCTTTCACCAGCAATATTGATTACAAGATAAATTAACAAAATCACAATCTGTAGATGTAAGGTCAAGCGTTTGGAAAAAATCGTAGTTTATACTATATAGGCCTAGGTAGTAA